TAAGCCTGAGTATTGGGCTCAGAGCCTCAGCATCTGCAGTCATGGCTATTCCAATGTATTCTTGCAGGCAGATGATATAGCATCTCTTATTAATATTATTTGATATGTCCCATTAAAAGGACTTCTTTCTACTTATTTATCATTTTGCCAAACTTGACCCAATTAAGCTGAAATTGGTTTTGCTTTTAGCTAGTTCTTTTTCATTTGAGCCAAAAAAGATTTCTTCTTTCCCCCCAAAATGGAAAATATTGTTTTGTCAGTGTAACGGAAGTCTTCCAACTTTGTTTTTTAAATGCCCAGGAATCTGTATGCTCTGGAGTAGGGTTGCTCACCTTTGTGGCAGGAGTTTCCCTTTTGTCCTCTTTGTGGAAATCTGACTGGATTTAGCAAATTTATAAATCTTTGGGGAAAAAAAGTGCCTATTCTCAAGTACTCAGTGCAGGCTTTTCTAAAGTTTGCCAGCTAAAATTTCCAAGGACTCCCTTCCCCAGGAACATAGTAAGGCTCCTCACAGGAGCCCAATGGGGCTATCCACATGCCAACTGCAAAGAGTAACTAGACATGTTGCAGCCACAGGGCTATGTGGACTCATGGACGTTTCCACTGCAAAGCTCAAGGGGAAGGCTCAGCCAGTGCTGCATGCAAGAGCAGGAGGCCCTTCCTTCTCCTGTGCTCCCGGCGGATGCACCTGGGACCCAGGTGGCCCTGCAGAGGAAGCAACTTGACCTAAATGTAGAGGAAAGAAGAGGGAAGAGGAGGAAAGAAAAGAGAAGGGAATAAATCAGTGCACAATGACATTAATGCAGGAGAGGGGAGAGGAATAGTAACTGGGAGGTGAAAGGAGAAGATGGAGGGTGATTAAGTAAGGGAGAGTTGGAAGTCAATGAGAAAAACACAGGGAACAGGAAGATGTTTGGCTGGGTGGGAGGCACAGAGGGAAGAGGTCCTCTTGCCTGCTCCCTGGCTGGATGAGAAGGTGAAGGAAGGAAGGGGAGATGGGTTTCCTTTGGAGAAAGAATGTGCTGTTAGGAGGAGGCAGAGTGGGGAAAAGAGCAGAGAGAGAATCCTGGGGGAAAAAAACCCACAAAATCGAGATCCAGAAGGAGGGCTTAGAATGCTGAGACAGGGAGCCTGGGACAAGGAGCTGGGGCAGCCTGGCTGGGTAGGAAGGGCACTGAGAAAGTGGGCATGAAGCTGGTGTGTTGGGGAGAGTGGAGGAGAACAGGGAGACTGAGACTAGATAGCTGGTCCTGCTTAAGTGAGGACAGTGAGGAAATCAGGTGGGTTTCGGAAACGTTAGTGAGCCTCCCCGAGCAAGAGAAAAGGGGGCAGCATGCGAGGAGGGGAAGAGAAGACAGGGAGATACTGGGAGTTGAACATTGAACTTGGAAGGTAACTGATGCGAAGCAACCAACCATACGGTGAGAAAACAGAGGATTGGACCATGGGGGTAGGTGAGCAATGAGACTGGAGAAAGAATAAAGAACAGTTGGATAGGAGACGGGACTGGAAGGAGATCCAGTTGCAGGGAGCTCCATGAGGATGTAGGCAGAAAGCCTTGCAGTAGCTGGGTAAGGATTCCACCGAGAAGCCAGAAAGAAAATCCTTCTGGCAGTCCAGCCTCAGAGCAGGGTGCTCTCAGGGTGCTCTCAGGGCCCTGACACCAGTGAAGGAAATTACAAGAGCCTCCCCATACTCAAACTGCTACTGCAAACTCTCAGAGCTCCTGCGGCAAACATCTGTGCGCTGGCTCTGAGGGTGTCCATGTGATGCTCCTTTAGGGAGTGTGGTGTGGGAGGGAGGAGCACTACAAAACCATGCACAGAGACACATTCTTAAAAATGTATTCTGTGGACTAAAAGCCAAGCTCTAAAACATGAAGAAATTCCAATGGCAGTAGCGTATAAGGCTTCGTTCAGCCCTGTTGGCGTGATGAGATGTTACACCATATGCTACTCAGACTATACTTGCCATTATTATCTGTGACTGCCTCTGGGGAATTGCAAACCCAAGACCAAGCTAGCCTACAGCTTGTGCTGTGCTCTGCAAGGTGTGAGTTCACATTTCTGGTGCAAGGGTGGCTAAACTGCACCCTGAAGTGGCCACGGGTTATCCCACACTCCTGCCTTCACATTACCTGGAGTCCTGCTGGGAAGCAGCCTTCAGCTGACTCTGGCAGAAGATACATGGTGTTGCTAAAATCCTATTGAGATGTACAGTGGCGGACACAGGTGAAGTGTGTACATGCACACCTGAGCATGTCCATCTACTGCAAGAAGGGAAGGAAAAGCACGTTTGCCACGTTCATATTCCTACGCCCAGGAAAGGATTGTATGTATGCATGCAGCAGAGCTGAGGGTGCGCACACATATAATACACAATTAGGTTTTGGAGGAGAAAACATCAAGGAAAAGTCCTTCGCACTTAAAATGCACAAAGTTTGTGATGATCCCTAGGCTTTATAAGAGCTGTTCCACAGCCTTCTGTTGCTCTTGGAAATACTGTCTCCTGCACAAATAAGCTTTAGAGAGTTTCATGTTTATCCTAGAAATGAAATGATCTTTTAAAGCCATTGAGTGCTTCAGGAAGAGAACCAAAACCTTGAAACTGCTTCAGTCTTCTGTGGCAAGGCAACTTGATGAGCTGAGGACAGGTCTGCTTATTAATACGGGTTTCCATGAATGTTTCTTCTGGAGGTGAATATCAGCTATAATCGTTTGTGCTGGACATTTGCATTAGCTATTTTCAATTTTACAGACAGACAGGGTCTGCATGTGCATCTGTCATTGAAAATCAGGTTCCATGGGGGCATATCCTTGTGTGCACCTCTATTCCTCTTCAGCCTTTTGGTTCCTCACTTTGTTGTTCACAGTAGCATAGCCCTGTGGCAAACACAGATAATGCTTACTAAGAAAAGTAATAAGTATAAGGTATTTAATGTATTTCTAGCCTTCTTGAATGTGTTGTAGCTGTGAATACAAGGCAAAAAGCAACACCATATGACCATGCTACTTTGGGAACGGTCTCTAAACTGCAGTTAAAATAGTTTCAAGATATTTATGCAGTTCATAAGTCACGTGAATAGAGGTTTATCACAATCAGTAGGAATGCTGGATTTTCATATCACACATTCGCTGCTTAGGATGATTAGCAGGAAATTTAATTTGCACTAATTAGCCTTAGGGGAGCAAGAAATTAACTCGATGGGTAAATTTCACGTTTTACTATATACCCTACGAACATGGAAAAATTTGCGTTAAAGCCTGAGTTGAGTCCTATGCTGATACACTGGACTTCAGTTTTTCTAAATTAAATTAAAAGACTGTAGAAAGCTAATATATGCGTGGTGCGTGGGTGGGATTTTTTAGGAGCTAGAGTCGTAGAATAGTCATTCAACGTATTCATTGAATTGTCAGCCACTTCCAGAGGGTGTGGTATGTTTTTGTGCATTAAATTACATTAATATCTAATATTACAGCAAAAGCTTTAACAAGTCCTAATTTTCTATATTTGTATATTACCATTATATAATGTGCGTTATGACTGCACATGCAATATTCCACACTGTGATGCACAGAGCAGAAACAGTTTTCACAGAACTACTGTGAAAACGCCATACTTTTTAATTTGCAACACCCACTTGCAAATACATTTTTAGGGTCAGGAGCCTTTGTTCATATGCTGGCAAAATTCCTATGAAAATAATTTTTTTAGAAATTACTCTCAAAAGTCTACAGCAAATGGGGGAGGCATGAGTCACTGCATAGTCCTAATAGACAAATAAGAATTAGGAACTAATAAATTCTAATCTTGCCTGTTGATGGGGACTTTTCTATCTCATTCTTCCAAAACACAGTTTAGATCACTTGGTTTTTCCCTCTGTAAAATGGAGGCAATTTTTGTGTATCCACCACTCAGAATTACTGTGGATTGATTAATGCATGCAAAGCAATGAGTCATTCGGTATGGAAGTATCGGTCTATTATAAACTGAAGTGTTCTGTCATACCAGGCTTGTGGTTGCATCCAAATTTATCTGTAAAAAAGGAGATGGAAAACATCAGTTGCATACAAGATAATTGCCTTTGATGTCAGTGCTTCTGCTAGTTTGTGCATCTGAAATACACCCAGAAGCTCACTATTACTATTAGGTATTTGGAATTAGACCTTGTAGTGCTTACCTGAAACTGCTATTGAAGTGAGAGGTGTGGCTTCACTGAGAGTTTTGGCTGAGTAAATATTGCAGAATTGGGTACCTTGAGTCCATAGTTTGGCGTTTAAGTGGTGCATATAAGCTAGTTGAGGCATCTGCTCAGACTTTCTAGCCTATGACATAAGTACTTCTGGTCTAAAGAGAGATCTCAGCTAGACCTGTGGGTAGTCATATATTGTGTAGCATGTATCGTATTGCATTCTCAGATCCTTCTTCAGTCCCCAGGACTCTGATTTCTCAGCAGTAGCCCTCCTATTCAATCAAGCACACGTGTGCATGTGTATGTGTATGTGTGGGTGGGTATATATAAATACACACGTGCCCACACACAGACAAACATATATGTGTACACAACCCCCCTATATAAATGTGCTTTGCCTTTTTGGGTGTATGAGTGTATTTCTGTAAATGCTCACCACTTGTACATTTATGAGTAATATCCAACTTTCAGTCATAATTGACACCATGTGGCTTTCTGTATAATAATTACTTTGGGACAAAAAACCTTGCAGATGGTTTCAAGAGTGACTCTAACTCACCATCAATGTAAAAAGATTAAATAAGATGAGCCCACTCCCTCTGAATGGAGTAAGCCGTTTTCATTGATTTCAATGGGAGCAGGCGCAACTTCATTTCTACAGCAGACAGAGAACATGTATTATATTCATTAAATGAAAGTTTGATTTCATTGCGCTTAAAATTATTCATGTTCTGTTAGCAAATGGTTTGAGATTTTATAACCTAGAGCATTTGCTGAATTCTGCTTTGTATTTTCCTCACAGCAATTGGAAGGACCCTCATTCCTCGTTATTTTAGCACTGTCTTTGAAGGAGGTGTAACAGACCTGTATTACATTCTCAAGCACTCAAAAGAGTCATACCACAACTCATCCATCACAGTGGACTGTGATCAATGCACCATGGTCACTCAGCATGGAAAACCCATGTTTACCAAGGTAACAGGGAAGACTCAATAAAGCATGTTGTTGGTTTGGTTTTTTTGTTGTTTTTTTTTTCTTTTTCAGTGTATATAAGGGTGAAAAATATTGGCTGTTGCATTTTTCTGGTAGACTGAGATTATTTCTAATACTGAAAACCCTTGAAGCCATTTAATTACTATTTTCTATATTCATTACGTGACTGGAAAATTCTGTGGGCATCCTCTGCAATTCTCCCAGAAAGATTGCAAGAGAAGCGCATAATGCCAGGTTGCCAGAACCATCAGCTGTAGGTGAATTAAATTCAACCTGCCCATCTCCTTTTCTCTGGGCTTGATTTTAAAGCAACAATGAGATTTCACATTGCTGGTACCTACCATTTGGGATGGTATGCTTTACATTTGATACTTACCCAATCCAAGGACCATAAATCTTTAGGAAAATAGTGATTTAATACAGTAGGATGCCGGTCCAAAGGGCAGTGAAGTCAATGGAAGGAGTCAATTGATTTAAATGTGCTCTGGATCAGGCAGTTAGTGAATATTCAATATTTGTAATTGATAGTGAATTATCTTCGTGCATTGGCCACTTCTAGTCCTGTAATTAAACTGAGTGCCAGATATTTATAAAAAACAGTACCAAAAAGGTGGAAAATACTAATTAAAACACAAATTTTCTTATATTAAAAAAATCAGTAAACTGATTTTCAAAATTGAAATGTACCCTTTCATAAATTAACAGGAAATGATGATTTTCCATCTTGTACCTGTTCCTCCCTATGAATTTTAACCTTTGCATGGAGAAAAACACAAAAGGAGAAGGGGCAGCAGGAGGACATAACCCGTCCGTGTTGCCCGTGGCCTGCAGTGGAGTCAAAAAAGGCACCAGCTGTTGGCAGCATCATGACCAGGGCCCACATGGCGTGTGCTGTTTTAGCATATATGTGAGTCCCGTCCCATCCCTTCGCAGTGTCTTCCCTGACATCTTCATGGCCCTTGGAGTGGGGCTCAAAGAAGAGGGAGAGGAAGCCACTGGTGTGCGGAGCACTGGTGAGCTGGGAGGTGTGCGTTTAATGGTGTCGTTGTTCCAGCTCTCCCACTTCAGCCCCCTGTGACTTACATAAACACAAACAGAGAGAGATGCAAAGAGACCAGATATTCCTAGGTAGCACCTCTTTGCCACGAGGAGTTGTGCATGCTGGCCATGTGCAGAGGACGTGATGAGGGTATACAGTAGCTGCTGCTTTGCGTAGCTCCCTAAAATGATTTCTGTCATTTCCCTTTGTGTTAGCTTTAATGCAATAGCAAATAAAAGGGGTTTTTTGTTTAATCAGTAAACAAAACACGCTTTTCTTGATTCAATTAGTTTATTTTACTTATCATAAAAGCACATTACAGTGTTGTTACTTCGGAAGGGAGACTAGTATCCAGCAAGTCAAAGACAGGCTAGGAGCCAGGACGGGGCTGGGTGCACGCCTCGCGTGAGGGCGGCCACGGTCGCCTCCCGCCGCACCACCCTCTTGTGTGCGGTGAGAGCCTCCCTGAGCACCGCAGCCCTGGCAGCGCGCGGCCTGCTTCAGCCCTGTCGTTTCTGTTCCCCATCCCAATACAAACCTCTGTATCCTGGCAGTTCAGGTGGGGATGTGATTTGGATTCTAGGAGAAAAATTAGGGGGTGTTAATGGCTGTATGTTTAAAATCTGACTGTGTTAGTAAGAGCAAATTTGAAATAAAACACGGTAGTTGGTGGAATAAGGAAGAAGAGAATATATTACTCTCTGAGAAAGTTAGAGCCAAATGTTGTCTCAGCTGTGTGTGTGTAACTTCTAGCAGAGATACTGAGGGCACAGATCTTGTACCCCAAGGTGAACGTCTAACTCTCACAGCGTCGGTGGTGGAACAAAGCAGACCTCCTGTAATAAGCAGCACTCCAATGGACTGCGTAGCTCCTTAGATCATGTCTGAATTTGACCCAGTGAAGCTACCACGAAGAGCTTTTTTGATGCAAAAATACAAACTAACTATATTTGTTAATAGCTGTTTCAGTTTCACGACTTGTAAGCTACAAATTCACTGACTTCTAATATAACAGGCTGAAACAGTTCTCATCAAGTATTGAATCAGGAATCCACAGCTGCATTTCATTCATTTCGACATTTTCCTAGTTAGAGCAACTCACTGCATACTGCAGTGTTGGACGAATATATAAAATGGCATTTCCAATTATTTTTTTTCAAACAAATATGGCTAGAATATGCCTAACAGTAACAGTATGAATAGTCCAGCTTGTCTTTAGAGGGCAAGAGGTCCTTGTGAAGTGTCACACACTTTAAAATTGTTTTATCGAGGTATAAATAAATACTATAAAGAATTTAATACAGTTCAATGGCATGAATTAAATGTGGTAAAAGAAGAGACTGAAGCCCAAACTACCATGTTTGTTTACCTGGCAGATGCTTCATTTTTTTCTCCAGGTAAAGGAAAGCTTTAGAAATCCTCCTAAGTCTCTGTTTCCACTGTGTTTACCGACACTCCAACTTTATGTGTAGGCAAACTGTTTTTCTGCAGTTAGAGATGTTTATTTATATTTCCCGATAGATTGGCAGAGGCAAGCTTTGCCTTCACCACTGAGTAGTGAGCAACCCGTGTTCACACCGGTCTCTTCCTGCGCCCGACAGTGCGGCCATCAGCTGGATTTTATAGGTGAAGCCCTTGAAACTCAGTGATTTTAGTCCTTACGAGCAATCTTAGGCATTTCCCAGATGTGTACAAGCTTTAGGTTTCTTTTCAAGCACAGAGTCAGGTTTGAGAAATGGTCGTTAATAAAAAGGGAAGAGTTTTAAAAGATGCCCGGTGTTAGGAGAGTGAGACTCTCAGCAATAAGGCACAGGACCAAAGTTGGTTTTCATAGGTGCAAGCAGTTGAAATTCCTACAATTAATAAGTGCAGTGAAGGGGTTAAAAAGCTATTGGTTAGTTTGAGAAATGTTCTTTTTTAGTTTTTTCCTGGCCTAGTCTAGAGCAACCACGTGATATACTGAATGCCTGCCAGCCTCTTTCTTGTTGATCCTCCGGAGACCATCTGTGCTGGGGGCATTGATTAGAGTGTGTCTGCTGGGATTACATCTTTTCTGTTGCCATGCCAACTAATCAGCTGATTTTGGTTACCACAGAAACAAAATGTCAGAGCTCACAGTACGGTAACATGAATTCAGCACAACAGAAAATGTTTTCTTAATTGGAGACCCTTTTGATTTTTTGGATTCTATGTAAAAGGCAGCTTTAAAAAAAAATAAGAGGCCCATTTAAAATAAGAACTGCACCAATTTTATTGATTAAAAGCAATGCGTAAAATTCTGCTCTACATAAGGAAATTAAATTCCTTTGTAAGATGTATAAATTTTTACTACTGTGATATGAGGTATGTGTTTCAGTTTTTCTATTAAAATTTGTTAATGCCAGTACATAAAATAAATCTGTTAAGAGCTGTGGGGTTTTGAGCTTAACAGAAGAAACATTTGAGAAGCCACAGGTATTATTATAAAAAAATATTTTAAGCCTGAAATATTTTCATGTTAACTGCTCAGTAATCGGGATCTTTGGCCTCAACACAGTAACATTAATATAAAATGTTTTTCTTCTTGTATGAACCCTTAAGTGTGTGCATGTGTACCCCTGTGTAATTTCTTATCATAGTGCAACTGATGAGAAAATCAAAATCAGGGTCAAATGACAAAATAAGTCACATTAAAAATTTGAAGGCATCACTAAGGTATGTTGAAAAGGGCAGATGAGAACCTGTTGCAAGATTCTCCTTCATAGGTCTACAGTAATTTGTCTATATAGTATGTCTGTTTAAAATTACCTACGTGTTTTTGCAGAAACAGCCAGGAGGAAAAACTATGATGACGTTAAGTGAACTGTTAACCAGAAAAGCCACACATTGCCCAAGTGGGAACTAGCCAAGTCTGAGTTGGGGCTTGTAAAAAGGCTCAACAGACTCAACTGAATCTAGGATGGCTAGTTGTTCAATCAAATATTAGCTGTATTAAAAATACAGTTGCAGGAACCTTTTCTTTTGAAAGCCATTACACCCTGTTTCCACCATATCTCTGGACACTGCACTTGCAAGTTTACTTTGAATAGGAGTTGTAAGTCTGAACATCCAATTTAAAGAAAAAGATCAACAACAGAGGGAGTTAATTTTCAGATCATGCATCATTTAAAGTACTCCAGTCAGGATACCATGCTGGGCATGTATTTTGCACCTTAAAGACCACCACAGCCACAGCATTTTTTCCACATACAGTTGTGGACAGTTGTTTAAAAGTCCCCAGTAATTTATTTTACTTTTCATTTCCAGATGGTACCCACTTACTGCAGTTATTCCTCCCATATTTTCTCTCCTTTCTCAGACAAGGCCCCTCACAAAGCTGCGTGAGCCACTTTCTGTGGAAGCAGCTCTGCTGTCCACGACTGCAACCTTGTCTCTGCCCCCCTGGCTCTCAAACCTGCTGTGGCAATGCAGCTCATACAGCCCGATGGCAGACACCCCATCTGGCTTTCCTTGGAAGGGCAGGGTTAATAAAAGTAGATAAGAAATGAAAAGTAAAAATGGGATAAAATGCCTGGAAAAGACAAGAACGCTTGGAAAAGACAAGAAGGAAAAAAATAGGAACAAAATCAGGTTTGGCCACAGGCATTCAGGGCTCTGTACTCCAACTGGACATGAAAGGAAGGTTTATATGCCAAGCTATTGTAAGGAAAGGGCAACATAAAACAGGTTTGGGAACGACTGGT